AAGGAAAAATTTGTATATAATTTACCATGGAAAAGTATGCCAGAAAGCTTGATAACCTTTCAGCCAAAGACAACAAAGTAGATGCATGTTTCTTGCTTTTAGGGTCCTTTCATAAGAACTACATGCCACCAGCTCTATCAGCTTCCAGGGCTGTCTCAACCACCTTGACAGTATGCTTCAGCAACTTTGAAGAAACTTTTTTTCATAGAATCAAAGAATCATAGAATGCTTTGGGTTGGAAGGGACCTTTAAAGGTCACCTAGTCCAACCCCCCTGCAATAGGCAGGGACATCTTCAACTAGATCAGGCTGCTCAGGGCCCCGTCTGACCTGACCTTGAATGTTTCCAGGAATGGGGCATCTACCACCTCTCTGGGCAACCTGTTCCAGTGCTTCACCACCCTCACTGTAAAAAAATTCTTCCTTATATCTAGTCTGAATCTACCCCCTTTTCATTTAAAACCATTACCCCTTGTCCTATTGCTACGGGCCCTACTAAAAAGTTTGTCCTCATCTTTCGTGTAAGCCCCCTTTTAGTACTGAAAGGCTAAGATCTCCCTGCAGCCTTCTCTTCTCCAGGCTGAACAACCCCAACTCTCTCAGCCTGTCCTCATAGAAGAGGTGTTCCAACCCTCTAATCATTTTTGTGGCCCTCCTCTGGACCCGCTCCAACAGGTCCCTGTCTCTCCTGTGCTGAGGACCCAGAGCTGGACGCAGCACTCCAGGTGGGGTCTCACCAGAGCAGAGTAGAGGGGCAAAATCACCTCCTTCAGCCTGCTGGTCACACTTCTTTTGATGCAGCCCAGGATATGGTTGGCTTTCTGGGCTGTGAGCGCACGTTGTCAGCTCATGCCCAGCTTTTCATCCACCAGTACCGACAAGTCCTTCTCCGCAGAGCTGCTCTCAATCCCTTCACCCTGCAGCCTGTGTTAATACTGGGGGTTGCCCTGACCCAGGTGCAGGACTTTGCATGTGGCCTTGTTGAAACTCATGAGGTTCACAGGGGCCCACTTCTCAAGCTTGTCCAGGTCCCTCTGGATGGCATCCCATCCCTCAGGCATGTCAACTCCACCACTCAGCTTGGTATCGTCTGCAAACTTGCTGAGGGTGCACTCAATCCAACTGTCAGTGTCATTGATGAAGATATTAAACAGCACCGGTCCCAATGTGCAATATGGACCCCTGAGGGACACCACTTGTCACTGATCTCCATCCAGACAACCTATTCTGTTCCTCCTCTATTAGCGACCTATTATGCTTCCCCTTCACAGAAGTTGTTGGACATACACATGCACTAGTTTATCAAACTTTGTTGCAGCAGTTTTTATTTGGTATGATTTTGATCATCATATTCTACTTCTTGACTGTAGGTAAAACCCACTTGCAGATCAGTGTGCAACAGGCTATTCTTGCCTGAGAATATAGATGTATTTCTGCAACAGTGTTCCTATTGCTGTCTGTTCCTTGCTGGACATTTTCACACATTTCACTAAAGGCATTTGACTGCGTAATGGGGCAGTTTTATCTGAACAAATGCAAATTACCATTTACAACACATTTTGGATTCTCATCTTAGTGTCAAATACTGCTTTTCTGTTGCTACTCTTTGTAAGACTTCATTTAGAACTTAGAAATAAGGATTCACCTTATAAATTAAGAGTATGCGTTCTGAGTAAAGCTTGCATTCACTGTCTGGATTGTTGGAAGATGTTAGATTTCAGCATGGCCCTTATGTTGAGCAAATTCAGATTCCTACAGAAGACAGATGTTTGGAATTCTTGAAAAACTGTCTTGCCTAATAATACACTGAAGAACCAAGTTGGAAATGAAGGCACTGTCTGTGTGATATCCTCCTATCTCCACTTCTTGCCAATAAAATGAAATGGAGAAAATACAGAAGAGGAAAGCAAAATGCATTTATCATCTAAAGCAACTTTGGTTCTGTTCATGAATCACATCTTAAGGTATTTCTTTTTACAGAAATTGGGCATACTTAATAGAAATGAAGACCCAGAACACCGATTGGATTAATCAGGAATAGGCCCTTCCACCCCAAGAATTGAGCTGATAAAACAACCTCAAGCCTTAATTTATATTAGCACAAGAGCACTACATCTAATTTTACCAGGCTAATGATAAAATTAGATACCACCAACTAGTTCTCGTATGCAGTTCTGCTGAATCTGCCATGCTTTACCAGAACAGAACAGTTATAAGGAATTCTTACCAATCACACATACATACAATTTTAGCAGAGATACAGAACTATCAGCATGAAAGCTAGAATTAGTTGTTTATTTAAGGCATCCTTGACAGACAGTATTAAAGTCTCCTACAGAATTCAGGTTAAACTCTGTGCAACTGGTTATCTTTTTTGTATTATAAAAAAATAGTTCTCAGAATACTTGCATGTAACTATTCAGTATGGAGTTCTTTTGAGCACCCATCCTCTCAGCCTGTGAGATCTTTAAACATCAAGGTTTGTTTTCATGGTGCTTACAACAGGATTTCTTTCAGCATAACTTATGTTCTGTCTCACAACAATATACATCTCTAGTCTGATGTGTATTTCTCCTAAGGTGTTCAGTCAAGAAAAACTTTTTTTTTAATATTGTCATCTTTAAGTCCAAAATGAATACAAAACCATATATTTTCCTTCAAATTGTAAACTTGTTGAAGAATTAGTCTAAGCATATTTTCACATTTATTTGGGCTAAGAGTAACCAGTTATCAGCCAGTACTTCACAGTTGTGCAATGTAGTTCCATACCACAATCCAATTCTGTATGGTTCTTGTGATCTAGTATACACAATTACACCTTTTCAAAAAAACATCCAGAATTTTTAAAAACTGTGGACGTACAACTTTTGCTGGTGTTGCTGAATAACTAGATGATCATTAACTAGTTAGTTGGCAGCTTCAAGTTTATCCATACATCCATGATACCAAGCTACAAAAAACCGAGACACCCTGCAAGTGAATACTCCAAGCATTCAGTACACCAAGTTTCAGCGTAAAGTATCAGGAATATGATTGCTATTTTGTCTAAAGGGTTGGGAGGTTGGGTTTTTTTTTTTTTCCTTCTTCTCTGTTGAAGAAAATACTTATTTTAGTGTTCAAGGTACAGCACATTTGCTATAAAGTTGGATTCCAAACTGAGAAGTTCAATGGTTTTAGTCACTACCACGGAAATGTGACTAGACAGGCACAAGAAATTTCTTGGGTACTTTTTGCGTTTTCTTTTCTCTAAGCACAGCACTGGTGACAGTTTTTCTAAATTTAGATATGTACCTGGAACTGGAACTTTGTCTCTTCAAATCAGATCTCCTTCCACATTCTCCTTGGCATCCCTGCACATAGATTAACCTACCTCCTCTTGCTGAAGAATACTCTTCAAAGCAGTCCTCCCTGAAGATAAATAACTAATTCTGTAAAAACAGTTCAATTTATTCTAAAAGCTGGCACACCAATGAAAGATTCCTCTGAAAAGATTCTATTCTTATGAAATATAACATAACTAAAATGTCAAAGTTCTCAGTTCTGAAGTGTATGCCACTTAGAACTGCTCCACATCATGTGCAAAAAGATGCAATGGGCGGGAAGCATCAGATTTCAGCAAACACTAACAAATGGTTCCTGTGCTTCTGATATTATAGAATCATAGAATCACAGAATCATAGAATCATTTACGTTGGAAAGGACCTTTAAGATCATTGAGTCCAACCGTAAACCTAACACTGCTAAGTCCACCACTAAACCACTTCCCTAAGCACCACATCTATGCTTCTTTTAAATACCTCCAGGGACGGGGACTCAGCCACTTCCCTGGGCAGCCTGCTCCAATGCCTGACCACCCTTTCGGTGAAGAAGTTTTTCCTAATACCCAACCTAAACCTCCCCTGGTGCAACTTGAGGCCGTTTCCTCTTGTCCTCTCACTTGTTACTTGGGAGAAGAGACCGACCCCCACCTCGCTACAGCCTCCTTTCAGGTAGTTGTAGAGAGCAATAAGGTCTCCCCTCAGCCTCCACCAGGTTTCTTCCCCAGTAGCACCAGAGGTAATTGCTACAGACTAGTGCTGGTATTTATTAACAGCAGCCATAATAGGGCTGAACTCATGAGAAACAAGATAAATGTACTGTCCAGTAGTCTTTTTTAAAAGGAAGTTTGGCTTTGAAAAGAAAAAAATGTGTATGCTTGGATAAAAGTGCAGGTGGAGATGTCTAGTCCCAGTCAAAATGAAAGATAACTACAAAACACATGTAAATTACCTGTGTAACATGAAAAACAGCTATATATCAAATGCTTGCAAATAAAGTGTCACAGTAAGCCAATAACAAAAACACTGAAATGTTTCTACTTGCTAACTACAAAGATTTTTAAAAGTTCCAGATAATTCACTCTTATTTTAAAAAATAGAAAAATATGAAAAATATTTACTTAAGTAAACGAAGAAAATCTAGACCAGTGCAACATGAATTACAACAGTAATTCAGTTATTTTTCTAGTTAAAGGCATTAGTTTGTACATTTTCATGGTTTTACAGTGCAATGTGATTAAGCCTTACTCAGATGATGACTTTCTTATTTGGGACATTCTGCTGTGAACACTTGGCAGTGCAAATCCATGCTACCCAAATAAAACATAAGAATTGGCGGGGGGCGGGAGGGCAGAGGTGAAACAAGTGATATATCAGAGAAAATAACAAAGCTGATTGTCACATTTTGAAACTATCTTTGTAGCATGTAAGCATTTAAAATTATCATAAATACAAAATTTAGTAAACTTATAACCACTATAAAAATTTGTAGTTTTTAACTTACAAATCCAACATGTGCATTTAGACATCTGAACAGCAGCTTACAAAACACATTCTGAAGGCAAACACCAACACAGTAGTATACAGCCCTGTTCTCTCCTCACATGCATTTCTTTAGACAAATTTCTCAGCCAGCCTAATCTGAAATACAAACATCTTCAAAGGTTATGGCCATCAAGGATTTTAAGCCACTTATTCTGTTTTCTTTGCCTGTCTTTTCTTAACACCATCACGGTGCTGTTCAGAAGAAGACCGGTCACAGACTGAAGAGCCATTGGAAGATGCGGCACCTTCACCCTTCACTTTGGATGGTGTCTTTTGCAAGCCAAAGAACATATGGCCTAATGCCGCCTCAATGGGAGCAAATGGAGAAGTTGCAGATCTTGTCAACATCATTGTTACCTACGAAGAACAAGGATCAAGTTACAATAAAAGCTTTAATGACTTCACAGCGACTGAAAACAAGTTCAAAGCTGAATGGATGTATAGCATTTCTAATTTTCTACACGAGCACGACGCCATTCCACCAAGAACAGAAATATGTTCATTTTAGCTTGAATTGATCCAAGAATGCTTTTCTTTCCAACCTACACTCTTCACACAGCTATATACAAACAAGGTGCACAAAAAAAAACTTCATGTAAGTTTACTAAAATCACCCTAAGACTAAACCACATTTAATGTCATACAACTAAGGCGAAGAACAACTGTTATTGTGTAAGTTTTGTACCTTGTTCAAACTGAAAAAATGTAAGCAGAGTGGCTACTTCCATTTAAATTGAAAGAATGCAATGTGTAAGCACCTTAACATATATGCACAGCCAGACTTTAGTTAGAACTCCAGACAGCCATAGTCATTCCATAAAGTTGAGAGATTTAGGTGGAAATTCCTTAGAATAACTTGGAATCAGGATAGAAAAAACTTTTTTGTAGATCCAAGTACTGGACAAGTTTATATTGTAATGGTTTTCTGCAGTTTTCAGAGACATAAAAGGTTTCTAAAACAAGGCACTACCACAGGACTACGCCAGACCCACAACTGTTGCTTTATTAGTTAAGTGGATGCTCAAGTTCCTGATTGTCAGTATGACCATCAGTTTAAGAGCTTATTCATTTCAGTGCAGCCTGACAGCCAGCTTCTGAAGACAGCTGTAATTTCTCACTTCCAGAATAACATTCCTTTCCTTCTCCATTCCCAGCATACCCAGTTGAACAATGCCTTTATCGGTTTAGGTGGAAAATCACAAGCATCACCTTGAAGTCTTGGCTCCATAAAGCAACTTCTCTAGAACTAAACTTGTCAGCTACTTCACAGAAAGGAGACGGGCAACCACCACTTTAAGACAGTCTCTAGTCTGTTCAACAGCAGCTCTGAAGTTCTTAAAATCGCCAGACTTCTGCTAACACAGAGACTACGCTTTCTTATTAGCTAATAATCCTGAAGACAGGCATCATCCCGGAAATGAACAAAAGTGGAGGGATTAAAGGATTCAGTAGAGAAGTACTATCTATTTTATTACAAAAGTAGTTACAGCTGCTTCAAAGTGGTTTTGATACACTTTGTCTTCCCACCTAAACACTTATGTTGCGAACACTTTAAGCTAGATGAGAACCTAGCTGGCTTGTTTTGCAAACCCACAGATGGCTGCAGAGGCACAAGGAAAGCATTAAGCAGCTAGCAAAAGGCAGAGAGCAGGAGAGTTTCCTTCTACAAGCATAAGCTTTGTTTGAGATTATGGACATACAAGCCTGGCATATCAACTGTTGGGTGCCAAAATTCCTGATTCTTTCCTTTTTTTTCCCCCATACACTGAACAGTATCAGTAACAGAATAGGTCTTCTGTTCTGCTCACGTATAGAAGACTAAACACAGGTTTAAGACTTCAGTAGGAGCTGGCCTTCCCATCCAGAAGAACGCATTCTAACTTGTGGTAGAGTGTTTGAGGGCATATTTTTTGCTCTGAAATAATGAAATAAAATATTTTCTGTCATTCAGTTATTTGCAACAGTTTCACATTCTTACCTTGGAGATGACAAGAAAGACAGTGTATAAAAACATGAGGTTGTGTCTTGCTATTGGCAAGTACTGGCTGTGTTGCAGGGTGAAAAGAACTGCTCCTATCAAAGTTACCTTCACAGGGCTGGAAATCAAACAAACAATGTTAATTTCTCTTCTCTACTCTACAGTGAAAGCTGCTATGGCCTGGAAAGCAATAAATGTTCTTCGTGTGCAAAAGAATTATTTCTGAATAGAACTAATGAAAACTTGTCGTAGCTGTGACAAGGTCCAAAACCTAGCTACAATCAAACTAAGACTTTCACTTTATATACTATTACTATGCTTTCTGACCATACTATGGACAAGCATCAAGTTCAGCACTACTTTACACACCCAGCAAACTCATATTTGACAAATCCTCCTCAAATCAATGCCTCTATTCAGACTCTATAAGTCAGCTTGCTCCCCTTCTTCCTCTCTCAATATATCTTACTGAAGAGTTAAATCACAAAGCTTGCTTTACGCGGACTAGACTTAAAAATAGGTTCCTCTCCTATACTCCAGGTGTTAATTACTCCACGGAGTTGCTTAAGGTGTTGAAGAACAACATAGTCCAAGTCTCAGTCCACTATGACACTCCGGCAGTTCTAGGGTCATAGTCAGCTTATACTTGACTTTAATCAGGCCTGTGTTACCAGGTTTTGCCAATATAGCTGTGTTGACTTGAGACATGCAAAGATTTACATCTTCTAGCTGTCTTCATTGTGTTGGTCAGTCCCTTGCTAGGTACACAGTCAGAAAACAAGAGAACTTCCGTCAGTTGTCTGAAGAGAGAGCACTAATATACTGGCAGAAAAATTCTGTGCATTTCTTAATCTGCACCTACATGTGACATGTACAGGTGACATTCCTGTTATCACAGAGCATCTAGTGTAGACACATTCTTCACTGTCTTTTCAGTAACTCAGAGATTTACCGCATCAATTGCCTGCTCAGGAAGTCCAAAAAACAACTGTGTATATACAGGCATCTCATCCATTTGAAGTCTGTTTTATCCATTTAACTTTGTAACTTACTTCTATTTAATATTCTTAATCTTTATATATTAAACAAAATTTTAAAAATCCTTTTTGAGTTACTTTGAGCCACATCCACCATGGAGAAGGAGAATATATGCAAGCGCTGCCACAGTCAGTAAGCATTGCTCTAGTGCTGCACCTGTAAGTACAGTGTTATTTGGGTTTACAGTGCTATTATTGACAGTGACCTCTTCCTTCTGGAAGTTTTCTTTGAAGACTGCCACTTAGGCACCGACAGAGGGAGAGAAATTCTAAATACCTGGAGTTTCAGAAAAGCCAACAACTAACATAAGCCATAAAAAGTTGAAATATTGCCAAAGGAAAGGCTACAAATTTCTCTTCTGTTATTCTGTTGCTAAGAGTGGCTGCAGAAAAGCAAGATAACTTTAAAAAAAATACATTATTTCTAAAGACCTGCAAGTAACATGGGAAAGATCAAACGAATTTTAGGAAATTACCACAGTGAGCTTATCTTGACTTACAATAATAGCTTGTGGCTTTCTAGCCTGTCTCAATTCTCATTTTACTGTACAGACTAAACCAGGAGCTATGTAACATTCCCATTCTTCGCTTCTGCAAGAGAAGTAACATTTTGTATCTTGCAGCACATTAGATTTTTGCTATATTGAATAACCAATTTGCGCTTTCTCAAATAATTGATATCTATGGAGGAAAACAGTATTGGCAGAGAAAGTAAGAGTGACAACACTCAAAGGAAGCCATCTTAGTGATGCTCAGAACATGCACCAAAAATGCAGGCTTCACTTGTATATTTCTGGTACCACTGTCCTTTCATTTTTGGATAGAAGACCATATCCCTGTAAGACAAATTGAGTCAATACTGCTTTCCAGCAACTTCCTACTGACTCAGTACTGCTTTCTGCCGAATAATTTTTGTTGACTCGTCTTCCCATTTGGTGTTCTTGTGCTGTGAACCTAAAATGATTAAAATATCTGCTAAAATTGCTGAAGATCATCAACCAATCTTTCACAAGATACATACCAAAACATTGAGTACAAACATGTCCTAGTGCTTTTTTTTTTTTTTTTTAAATCTGAACCACTAGAAGTGACTGTCAACACAAGGAGTTAGCAAAACAACAGTTAACATATTGCAGTCTTTTTTAAAAACTTACTAGGACATCTTCAGTAGTTCATTGGTTTCAGGTTTCCACACTCCTCTCACCAGCTGCTCAAAGTTGGAAATTAGGCCACCACCAGCTCCTGAAATTGCAGAGATTTAGAATAAGCCTCCACTGACTGCTACCACTACTCCGCAACCTATTATTGCTCCCAGCAAAACTCGTTACACCAGGTGCCAAACGTGGCACTCAAAGCTCAGACTTAAAGAGACTAATCCAGTCTTTTACATGTGCATGATCTGAGTGACCGACATGAAACCTCAGACGTTTAGCTACTTAGCAAGAACCTCGGGTTTACCTTTGTGTGATAGCATCTGAGCTGATGCACTCAAGACTGCAAACAAATTGCCAAAGTAAATCGCCAGAGAGGCTTATATCATTCCATTCTTCATGTCATCAAGTACAGAGAGTGTCTCTATAAACTAGGAGGACCCTCTGCAAGAAAAGTGGATATGTATTTTTACAGTAAAAGAATACAAGACATAAGGAGGTGTTAAGACACTCTGGCCAGTGAGACTGATTTGTATTATAACCTGGGAAAAGAATATGTTAGATCATAACATTAACACATGTTGCTTCCCAAAGCAGAACAGAATCAAGGAAATAGAAACAAGAGCTGCACTACTACTTCCTGAGGCAGTTCTAACATTGTGACTACAAATACAGCTCCTAGGAAGGTAGCTTCCAGAGTCGTACTCCAAACAGCAGGCAGGCAAAAAGGCTCATTCCTGTGTTTAAAATCAGCTAATGATTACAACCCAAAAAGCTAAGAAAACAAGTTCTCTTCTTCAGCCACATTCAAGGAAAACACCTCTGAGGAAATACTCCATTGGGAAGTTTAGGAATAGCACTGAAGCCACATGGGAGATCTATTTCTTTATTGCCATCAACTGCCCATCCTACAAGTCCTCACAAGACCTTCTGAAGGGATAAGATGAACTTCCCTCAAAGTCATTCAATGTCACTCTTAATCCAGGCAGGAAAAATGCTGCACAGGCTTTTCCCTTGAGGGGATAACAGACTGTATTACGACTATCATATCCAGCACAGCAAGGAATGGTGCTACAGTTATGCTGAAGGGCTAGCCATTTAAATACCACTCCAAAACATCACAATCCATCAGAACAAGATGTTATGCATGTTACCTCTGGCCCAGCCCACAGCTACCATGACGAGCCAGGCATCTTTGAAGCGACTGTCTGCATGTGCAATGCCAGCTGTTATCTTCCAAGTCCTAGTCACTTCTTTCATTCCTGCAACCAGAAGCCGAAGAGGCAGAAAGGCAAAGCACCGGTAGAATATGTCTTGTGGGCAGTAAAACACAAGATACCTGAAAATCATAAGAAAAAACATTAGCAGCATTCAGAAGTTTTTGCTAAGGAATTCACTTTCTAATAAACTTTAAAAGTATTTTTGGAATATGACTAGCAATGCATGATATACAACTAATAACTCACTGTCTTGTGTGGTAGACATATTGAAACAAATCTGAAATGCTTTTGAGCATGCTTGACCTCTTGCATCAAAACTCATCAAACATTATTTGAAATTGTTCTTACTACCTCATTGTCCCAAAGAAGAATCCGTTAAATGACATGAGAAACAGCTTTAAATTTTAGCAACTGTTCTAGAGCTTACATCTCATGTTTTTATAATTCAAATTATTAAATTAGTGTCTAACTGACTTTGTGTGGTTTGGTTTTTTTATGGGTTATTTTTTGTTTGGTTGGGGTTTTTGGGGGTTTGTTTTTTTTTTTTTGTAGGATTACAACAGGGTGGTAAGTTACATGCTGACATCATGCTTTCATACTGATAGGTATGTGGAATTACATAACTTCAGCACGAATGCCTCCACTTGTTAGTGTCGTGCCAGATGAAATGCACAGCTATTTTCAAACACATTCCACATCTTAGTAACCACCAATTCTAGCTTTTCCAGCTTGCGAATTACAAGCACATTTCTTTTTTCAAAGCATTGAAAGCACAGCACTCAAAATTTAATACCTTTTACCAACTTGCTTTTAAAACAAAGTAAAGATGGCTAACAATGAAATTCTACACTGACACTAAATTTTAAAAGATTAGATTATGTAGTGTTTTATTGTATCTCTTCAATCATAAACAAAATTCAGTGCTTACAGAGACATTCAAGGTCTCAAAAAAAAAATCAAGATTAATCAACATTAAGTATCTAGATTATTTCAGTACAGGAATAAGAGAGTAACAATTAAGTAAAAGCAGAGAAAGCCTTTAAAAGATAGGAAGGGTACTTTTTAATTTTCTAAAAAAAAAAAAAAAAAAAAAAGAGACTGCCGCAAGAATTTCTAAGGCTATATCCTTCTCCTGTTTACTCAGGCTGCAATGCAGAGATGCACCTCTCATATCTAGTTTACTTCATTAGAACTGCTAGCAGACACCACAACTAGGAAGAGTCATGCTTCATGGTTAGAGATTAAAAATCAGGACAGCACTAGGGGGTTGGTTTTGGTTTTTTTTTTTTCGGAAAAAAATGCTTATCCTTTACAGCAGAATGCCAGGAAGCTTCCCCCCAAGAAAGCCAAAGTTTAGTTGAAGTCCTGTCCTTGTTATGTATTTTCTTTTTCAGCAATGGATATCGTACCTTGCCACTGCAAACTTCTGAAGCTTCTTCTCTTCAAGAGCTCCCACAATGGAGCATGCAATAGTCTATTTCTCACATACAAGAAAGTTATTGGAATTTACATTACTACCTACCTACTGCTTTGGTGTTCAGTTTCAGCTTTACTTTTGCACTACTTATATTCTTCCTTTTTCTCCTACTGTAAAGTCAATTGCCTTTGTATGCAACCAAGCTTCAGTTGATATGAAGTCAAAGATGTATAGAGAGCATGTATTTTAATGGCTACTGCAAATAGCCATTTAAGCCATGTACTCAACAGACAATACTAACCAGAATTAATTTACAATTGCAGAATGTGGGTTTAGGACCGTGAAGCACAGGTAGCTGGATTCAACCTAGCACTGCAGTCCCACCACGGCATTTTTGCCTGCAATTTCTGCTAGCCACACTTGCTGACAGTAGATGTCACTGTCCTACAGACTATTTAAAAGCATTTCTCAAGCATAGCACAACCCCTTTTATAGCTTGGGGAATTTTCGTTTCACATGATTTGGGAACGAGAATTAAAGTCATTATACTCATGAAGAGCGAACTTTGTAAAACTAGAAGCTTAAAAGGTTTCATAACATTCATAGCTCCTCATTAAAACCTCATTTTATTTGTGCACAGCAAATCACGTTTGACCATGTTAAGTTCAACAGAAATCATGTTGTGCACGTGTACTCCTAACTCATGTCATTTGTTCAACAAGCAGTCATGTTGCCCCCATCAGACTAATATGAACCATAAGCAGATTCTATAAACTTTGTTAATACTGCACTATTTATTGCACATTATTCATTTCACCGATTTGCCTAAATGGAATCTGTCATCTTCCATTGGAACATGAAGACCAGAAGACTAACATATAGATATACACACACAGATAGAAACATTTACTTTTATTTTAATGAATTTGCAATTATAAAGCCTAAGGTGCTACAAGGAACAGATACTAAAGGATTTCAAGCAGGTAACCCTCTTCTAAGACAGGAATTGAGATTTTTAAATTCAAAAACCCACTGCTGCTCACAAAGTTTGTTAAGTTTGAGGATTTCTTCAAAGATCACTTTCTGGAACAAATGAACTCCACTGGAAGGCCACATTTATATGAAAATAACACCAGTGCTTTTTTTGAATTCCAAAACAGGCCAAATTGCTGCCTCATTCACATAGCTGACTTCCCATTCAGCTCTCTACTGTCTTCCACTAAAACACCCATCCATTTGGGAAAGGGCAAAATATAGAAAAATAATGATGTCAGGAAGCAGAAACTAGAGGAGAGGAAAGAAGATCTGTGTCTTAGATCCCCAGTTACAGAAAAGTTCAAAATTTTTACATCAGCCAGGTGCTGGCCTTCAAGAGCTACTGCTGAAAAACTAGGCTGCGTTTATGACTTACCTATATCCAGAAAAGCAGTAACTGAAGTACACTTTATTCCAAAATAATGTTTTCAGCTGTTTGACCAGGAATACTATAAAAATCTAAGGCAAGTCTAGTCTAGTGACTGAGCATTTTGTTATACAACAGCCTGTAAGAGTTGCTCTCTTACAAGCATTATAACAGCTATTTTGCTGTGGTGACTTTCTGGATGAAGAGACAGCATCCACACCAATAGCATTTTTAAGTTAAGCTTCTGATTTACCTGGAAGCTTGATGGTATAATATCAGTTTACCAACTATAGCTTCTTCAGAACCAATACTACCCATCTAACTCAATTGTGGCTGCTTACCAGACTGAAGATGCCAGTAGAATATTTGTGCCCTTTGCCAGAAATGCTACTGGAGGTTCTGCAAGCATCAATGAAGACAAAACTGAACCACCAAAGCAATAAAGCATAGCACTAAACCAGCAGGCAATGGGACTTCGGACTGACACTTCCACAGCTCCTGAAACAAAGGGAAAAGATGCATAAATAGAAATAAACATTTGAGAATGACATCATGTTTTAAAAGTCAGTATTTTCAAATCATTCAGTCCAACATTGTTCCTTTAGGTAATGAAAAATCCTGCAGTAATCTGTAGGCTTTCACAGGAGAAGTCTTCAGAAATACAAACTTCAGAGTACACCGACTTAAGCATATGCTATCTAAATAAAAGTGAAAGACTGACACTGTGTTCTCTGAACACCTTTTGTGGGTTGGTTTATTATAACTATTTGGCTACCAAGAAGAAAAAGCTTTCAGAGCATGACTGAGAGGTCTCATTGTTAATAATCTGGCATAGACATACAGCTGCTTTCAAATTTGTACTAAAAATACAAAAGTGGCTTTGCTGACCTAGACAGGATTGGTATTGGTAACTTTTGGGGGGTTATTCTACAAATTCCGTTTCTGCTTTTGAGTGTTCATGAATTCAAGGTCACTGTTTTCCTTTTTCCTCATAACACCCTGCTAACTGTGTTTCCCGACCAAAATGAAAGCAGTATCCAAAACAATTATTAAATAATTTCATCTGCAATCCTGAATATAGAAAAAAGGCTACCTGAAGCTATAATAATAAATACAAGTTTCCCTTGTTATTAAAAGGTTCACAGTTTGGTTTATTTTATTATCTTTAAAAGGAATTATCCCTTTTAAATTGTAATTGAACAATGCCAAAAGAGTATTCAATATTAAAAAATTATACTGGAGGTAACGGGAAGCCTCAACCAGTTTCAGGGGGAAACAACACTTTATCAAAACTAGAAATATCCTCAAGTAGCTGTTTTGACTATATCATTCCACCTCGAAAGTCCAATGTTGCCAAAGCTTCCCCTTTACACAGGCACAGAGCTCTGTTTGCCTGAACTAGTTTCACTTTCCATAGTCCAAAGGCTGAAACTCACAAAAGCAGAGATGAAACCTAGTGTCTGCCCCAAAATGAAATTTGACCTATGTTCCCAATTCAGAAGAGAAGCTTTTGGCTTTTCAGGCATTTCTGTGGGAAAAGAAGCTTCTTACCCAAGATGAGAAGCTCAGATATATCAAAGAGAATACAGCACCCTCAATACAATTCACTTCATACAAGAGTATTAACCAGATTGTTCTAGTTTTAGTGCGGGCACAGCTACCACATATTGCAGCACTATCTAAATTCCTATGTAACAGCCAATTTATAAAAATGAGCACTCCTAAGTATTACAGAATATCTGAATATACAATAACATTCGGGTTTTTTAACTACTGCATAATTTCTTTTCCATACTGCAGTACCTGGTGCTCCAAGTCGGTTATGCTCAGCTTTGTTATTGCATATTAACACTTCTCCAAAGTAGCTATCAATTATGTTTGCGTGCATAAAATTAACAGGACAAAATTCTAAAGCCTGCTAGTGTTACTTAACAGCAAAAGTAAAAATATAAAGTGGGCCATTACATCCAGACCCCATATAACTGAATGTGGATCCGTTTTCACCAACATATTTGAAAAGGGTAAGACCCTTGCAAAATATTAATGGTTTGTATTTACTACACTGAGGTTTCCTCAATTTAAAAAAAAAGTATATAAAAATGCTGACAGCCATTGCATTCAGAAAAAAATGCAAAATTATATTAATTAGACACTCACTGGTCCAAAAGGACTACAGTAGCTTCCTTCTCACATGTAATTATTCTCTTGTTTGATGACACAGCCGCATTACGAGTATTGCTATATACCTACTTCAGCATGAAAGGCCTGAATTCCTTTCTTGCAGCAACAAGAGAATATCCTACCCCCACATTCGGCAGTACTCTCTCTGTTGAGTAACTCCACTAAATGCTGCTGTGACACTGTAGTACAAAGTGACCTTATAGAGAAGAAACATCCCAAACTTTGCATGACAATGAGAAAACCCAGCTAACAGAGGCAGCCAGTGTAAATGACAAATCACAAGGGAACATGTGCTGGAACTGGGGAGTACTGCTAATAGATCAGCTGTTGTGTTATGCAGAAGCTTTAACTCCTGCACAGATGTAATACAGGATGTAGTCTCCACAGTAATCTGGTCTTGGAGTGAGACGGGTAACCAGATCATGACAGGAGGTTCCACATCCAAGAACTGTCAACCTCCAGACCAGGTTTAAAAAAAAAAATAATTACACTTCAGACATTCATTGTCAGGTGGGTGTGCACCAACATCTCCTTCATTAGCGTGAAGCTTCTCACCTTGCATTAGCAGAGCAGTAATCATCTTAACATCTTACTGGTGGCCTTCATCAGAATATCTAACTACTCCCTCCGCACAAAATGCGGCATGACTGAGAGCTAGCTAACTGAAACTCAGCTGCTTCTTCACTTCACCAGGTGTTCGGTCAAATTACTAACATAACAAAAGGAAACCATTCGAAGTGCTGTGTCTTTGAATTTAACACATTATATTTTATTTTTCCACACACATGGACATTGACTGGAACTAATGAAACAAACTAGTAACAACTAGTTTTAAGCAAAAAATGGAAGATTCTCATGTATCAGGTTTGAAAAGGTTGAAACTGATTTCTGTTGTACATTTGACATCATTTCTAGTTCAACTTGCCTTCTCTCCTACATACTTTGTGAAAATATTTTCATGATTTTTCACTTCCTATAATAAAGGCCAGATTAAAAAAAAAATTAAAAAATTAAATGAAATGTTGGAGTTGTTTTAGAATTAGTTAGCTATCCATCCTCTTTTCGAATCCATTCCCCTGCCTTTCAGCAATCACCACTTCTCTACTCTTCCTTTCCCCCATCACTAGCAGCAAGTGGTTTCCAGTTTTGAGAACACATATTGGAATTACTATTATTATTTCCAGATTGCCATCTACTAGCAGGCTCCACAACAAAGCATGTAAATTTCTTCATTAAGCTATTACATGTAAAAGGACAAGAGACTGGAAACTTTACTGGACTTTCAAGATTTTTCTCTTGGTCAACATTAGAATTTTCTTGGCTCAAACACCAGTATTTAACAATTCATACCTGCTTTCTAACAAGGAATATATGGAACATAGAAGGCAATGAGGCAAAAAATGCTGATACTAATTTAAAACTCATCTTAGCTTTGCTACCGAAATTATGACTGGGATGTAACCTTTCAGAAAACAAACTCAATTTTAAGTGGGTCACATATTTTTAAACAAGCAGTCGTTTATATTTGTCCTCTGATGCATCCTGTAAAACTAATGAGGCATCATACAAACATGTAAAATATGATCTGCCAAAAGGTGATTAGTCCTGCAAATGGTATACTTTAGAAAGTAACGGTTTCAAAACACAATGACTATTGTTGAATACAGTTTTAAACGTTGTTTCTGGACAATAGTAATAAAAAAAAACCTTGCCAGCAAACGACTTCTGTCAGCAGGATAAGATCTGCTTTAACCTTTCCAATATGTCCCAAATAGGCAATCAGGAATATGTACCATATACACATCTAAAGAGCAAACCAGAAGGACTTGTAGAAGTTTTCCTAGTACCCCTATATATAAAAACATCAAGTAAGCTATAGGGTGAGATTTAATTTAGCAAAACTATGCAAAAAAAAAAATTACTTCTCTTCAAATCACCAGAATCACGTCATAGAAAACTTGCAAGAACAAAACCAGCACATTCCTTCCAAATATGACACATCCTTAACCCTCAACACCTTTTGCTGTCCCTCCATCCCAAAAAAAGAAAGTTGCCAGTTCTACAACTGACTGGATTTACAAATGAGAGCAACTCCTAAGCGATCCCAAACACACTAACCAAGAACTCTTAGTTTAAAACATGTGGAAAGCAACATGTTGGTTGTCACTGCTGTAGTTCGCCAGCTTGCTCACCAGTGAGCAAGAAAATCTCGCTATAAGGACAGGAAAAGTCCCAACTAGTGTGCGCGCATCCATGATACAAATACCCACAATGAATATGATTTTAAGCAGTGTGGGAGGCTGGTATTTTAATGAGACAGTAATCTGGGATAAAAACAAATGTGGCACTGATTTGACCACGTACTTCTTATACCCCCAGCCACTTCAGGTTACCCAGTTATTCCCCTGCGAAATATAGCTAGTGTTTTAAGTTTCCAAAAAGAATATATATTAATGACTAGAAAACTTTAATCAATGATAATATATCCATCCTGAGTATTTCATAATAACTGCTATTTCAGTTATGATTTAATGTTCAGTTCAAACTGCTTGCAAGGGAGCAACAGACCAGCATGCAGTCACCTGAATTACAGTTATTAATTCAAAGCATTAGAGGATACTCAAGAGCTCTGAACTTTCCAGCTATTAAGCCGAGAAGAAAAAACATTATCAGCACAGATCTGACCAGACTTCTGACAGCACTTCTACTGTCCAGAAGTGCTGTCTCACTAAAGCTATGCTGATGCTAGCAAAGCAGAGAGACTCCTCTCATCCTGATCTTTAAGTGTGTCTGTTCCAGAGGAAACTTTAAACGTAGTGCATGATAATGTCAACTACCTGTAGACAGAAAGTCCCTTTTTGAATGGAACAGTTATATTACACAATGCCACAAGTCAGCACCCGGAAACAATTTTAGCAGTAGTAACAAAATTTGGTGAAGACACGAGCATACATAAGCATTTTATATCAGTATTCACAGTCTGCTAAGT